AATCCCCGGGTCTTCTATCACGAAACCTGATCTCCATTTCCCCTGCCTCATTACTTGAGGATGATGATGATGACAACAATGATGATGACATATGTTCGCGAGGTTCAATGACCTCATCAAGTTCTTCCAACTCTTCATCAGATTCATCTTCCATCAATATTTCGTCCAGTTCTTCAGCATCGAGGAGTTTTGAGTATCGGGCTCGTTTTTGAGGTTCCATCTTGGGGGAGGGGGCTTCCAGCTAAATCCTATAAAATATGATGATTGAAAAAGCGAGGCTGTTAGGAACATTCGCAAAATTGTGATGCAAAATAATTGCAATAGCAGTCGAAAAGTGCCAGTCCGCCACTGATACCGAAAGTCACAGTGACGAAGATGTCTTTACGCACAAAGTAACACTGGCTCAGTGGGTTTATACCTCTTCCGAGATACACAATAAAAATGGTATACAAAGAAATATAGGAGTCTGACACTGACTTCCTAACTAATAACGAAATATTAGAAAATCCGCCACTGACGTCCTAACTGACAATTCAACACTGCAAACCAATCACTGAATGCGTAACACTTCCTTGAAAGCTCTGGTAGCCCTGATATGCAAGCGCCCACGAATATTTCCTCCTATAAGATCTCAAAACAAAGCTGACTTCTATTGGCTCACCAGGTCATAAACAGTCACATCTAAACGTAAATAGTTTCAAAACCAGTACCCTGATAAACGATTTCATTGTTCAGAGGTAACAAATAAACATCGGACATGAACCTTCATGAGTTTATTTGGGTTTCAAACCCAAGGTCACACTGCCAGCACTCACAAAGGAAGCACGTGGCTTGCCTCTAAAAATTATAACTTTCGGCCAGCTGGCTTGCTACTTGCTGCCAATAATTATAACATTCGGCCATTAAAGGTTAAATATACATTTGGTACCTGTGACAACTGGTTACGTTTCTCTTCAAGTTCTTTGGTTTTCCCCTGGCAATTACCATTCTGTCAAAGCTCTAGTCTTTCAACTATCAGGCAAGGTTCGCACAGTAGGCTCACTTGTGGCTAGCAACACTATGAGGGGACTCCGTCTCACCACAACCACAGAGTCACAGAGCAGAGAGAGAGAATGCAAGTTGTGTTACACAATTCCACTCATTTTCATCATAGCAAAGCATGTTTTATAAAGAAATTTTTATGATCAGCTTAAGTCCACAGTAATTTCATCTTACTCTCTCAGAAAATTAATGTTATCCTACCCCCTACCTAAACCCTCGTTGATGTCTACACCTTATCGTAGTGAGGGGGTTTGAGTATGCCAAGGACCCTGAGAGCTATACCAGCGGTAGCGTAGCTATTGGCAGGGCCTCCCTTGCTGGACAGGTCGAAGGGTAGACATCAGACGAAGAGAGACACCAAAAACTGATGCCGGAAGCAGCGTCATCAGTAGCAACTTGAAGCACAGAGCAAATGATGCTCGAGATGGTTCAAGTTTGTATAGCAACAGGCATGACCAGAGTGGTCTGAACGGCTGCTGTACTGCGATGTGGAAAGCAAATGGAAAAACTACCACATTATCACTTTTCCTGGATAGTCTCTTTCCAAAAACAGAGATACTATATATGCGAGATGTTTCCTCTGGAGACAAAACAATCCGGAGGTAAACTACTCCCCCAATCGGATCTCCAGGGAGGAGTGTTTCTAGAGGAAATGTCATGCAGGCGTTACAACAAGAAAAAGTGCGAAGATCAGAAGAAACATCATGGATACAAGATTGGAACATGGAATGTCAGGACCTTGAATCAAGCAGGAAAATTGGAGAATTTGAAAACGGAAATGCAGAAGAATGAAGTGTCTGTTCTAGGTGTCAGCGA